ATAATAATAATAAAGAACCATACAGAAATACAAAATTGAAAAACAAAATATTAAAAGCGAGAAACACTATATGTATGTTGTGTTGTCAATTGTAAGAGAAACAATTGAGACCCTGCAATTGTGTGTAAATGAGGCAGAAAGTCAGATCAGCAACCTGGGACTTGGTCACAATTTTCGTGATGCCATATAGCAGCAGGGTCTACCATAGACAACACATTATGCTTCCAATATCTTCCCAGGCGGTACTACCTCCCTGTTTAGTAGCTGCCTAATACGAATGAAACGTAATTAAGTTTCCTTGTACCTGTAATTATAACTACACCTGTACCGCTACTTCTGAATTACTAGAGTTAATAATTATGTTGTGCTCACTTTTACCATTTGGGGATTTTCTATTTGTTTTGATTTCGCACTTTTATGTCAATCTCTGGTAGATAGATAGATAGATAGATAGATAGAGGAGAGAGAAAACTGAACTTATAACGGCAGACTTAGTGTTTTTTCGACGCCATTTTGATTCTTACTCAAGTCTCCTTTTAGTGGGGAAAGATTTTTTTATGGCGCGTAAACTTTGGCTATCAATCTTTACGTCATGTAGCTAAAGTGAGGCAATTTAGAGGCGTTGTGGCGTTTTTATGAGGGAAAAATGTCACCGTAAGGGATTTTGAGACACTATCGTCGTGCTGTAACGTCGAAGAGTCAGTAAGGAGACAGTTCTTACACCTTCAGCTACTGTAGGGGATAAAGTGTGACACCATTTTGTAGACGCAGCATAAAGTCGTCACAGAATACAGACAGACAACTTGTTTTACTTCCTAGAGCAAATAAGTCTTGTTCTTTCTCACAGAGGGCGGCGGGGGGAGGGGGGCGACCAGCAACCTGTCCTAGAAGAAAAACGGAGGTAGAAGATAAACCAAAATAGTAAACAAACTCTATGGTAGGAAGACAGAGAGATCAATATGGTCTGTGATGTCGGGTGAGGTTTCCACTTATACTACATTGACACGGAGACTATATAAGCCACGTTATAATTACTATTCTCAAGGGACACTCCATCTCCCCCTCTCGTGTAATGCATCACAACTACCTAGATAAACAAACACTGTCTTATATGAATATCATTTAGTTCTAAGATCAAGAGAGAATCACAAGAGTCTAGAGCGAATAATGACCAAATAAAAATAAATTACACACACACACACACACACAGACAGACAGACAGACAGACAGACAGACAGACAGACAGACAGACACACACACAGACACACGCACACACACACAGACACAGACACACACACACACACACACACACACACACACTATGCTGACTCTTAAATAGATTAAAAAAGACACTTAAATCAGGTTGGAAAAGGACCTCTCAATTAATTATCAGATACACCTGTCCTGTTAAAGGTGAAAAAAAAAATTACGAACCTTTATGAATCTATTTCCCGGTGAGTAATTCTGCCGTACCCTCCCCCCAACAGGTTCGTCGGGAGATCAGGAAGCAGAACTTGGACCCTGTAAAGCTGGGGAGGAAAGATGACACACTGGCTTGGGGAATCTCCCTCCAGGTAAGTACTGTGTGGGTAAGACCTGGGGAAGACTTGGGGAATTTTCTTTCATGTGAGTACTGAGGAAGAGACATTGAGAAGACACAGACAGACAGACAGACAGAGACATAGAGAGAAAGAGAGTGTGAGAGGAAGGGGCAGAGAGAGAGAGAGTGAGAGAGACCATTAGATAGAAGGAATTCATTATTTTTAAGGCTTACATTAACCGCATTTAAATATCAAGCTTAAACTTCATTAACCAATCCTCTATGACGAACACAGAGACATTAATAACAAATATATAAATAACAATGAACAAGAGAATCATAAATAACACAATATAACACTAGACAAATAACATAAGATCCATGAATAACATTAAATAACCTAAAATAATATAAATAACACATCTGAATAACAATAAATAACGCAAATGAAATAAATAACGCTCAATAACACAGATAATTAGAATAATAAAACATAACACAAACACAAATAACAAAAAAATAACGTCATAAATAACCGTTATTAACACGAATGACATAAATAACACGTACTACAATAACATAATCCGGTATATCACTCAATAACATTACGTAACACAATTATACTGTAAATAACATGAAATAACCGGAAAATAACATGAAATACATTGTTACTTGATCGTTAAAACTACATAATAAAAAACTTAACTGATACAAATTTAATTCTACTTTTCGGAAACTTTCAATTCATCAAAACTTCCACTGGGGGGAAAAATAGGAGAGAAAAAGTTTAAGTTCCCTATTCATCTATTTCACCTGTTTCGCCTATTTCACCTGAGTCACCTATTTCACCTGAGTCATCCATTTCACCAATTTCACCTGAGTCACCTATTTCACCTGAGTCACCCACTTCACCTATTTCACCTGCTTCACCTATTTAACCCATTTCACCTATTTCACCTTTTTCACTTGTGATTTAAATCCTTCAAATAGGTAAATTACATAGATAGCTTGAGTGAGTATTATATGTCAATAGATAGTTGGTATTAATAATAGATTCAGATAAGATAAATAATTAGAATTGTAGAGAAGATGGAAGTAGGAGAAGGAAGATAAGAAGAAAGCAACAAGAGGAAGAGTAGGAAGAAGAGTAGCAGCAGCAGGAGGAGGAGGAGAAGGAGGAGGAGGAGGAGGAGGATTAGAAGGAAATGGGGAGCAGGAAGTGGAGGAGGAGAAGGAGGAACAACAGGAGTAGCAGAAAGAGTAGGAGGGGGAGAAGAAGGAAGAGGAGGAGGAGTAGCAGAAAAAGGAAGAGGGGGAAGAGGAGGAGGACGAGGAAGATTGAATAGCACATCACAAGCGTCTACAAGGTGTTAATGAGGTCCAGGTGAGAGATATAATACTTAATTAACTGGAGGTAAATCTCTCGGTTTACTGGAGAAAGAGAGAGAGAGAGAGAGAGGGGAAGACTCAGACACACAGACAATTTAAACTAAAATTTTATAACACTACAAAATTCTAAAGAAATAAAGCATTAAACCTTAAAATATCCTAAATAAAAAAAATATATATAAAAAAAGGAAGCAAAAATTATTGATCGATATTTCTACACAAATTTAGATTTCTGTTGACAGCTGAAAGACATAGAGTTGGAGGGTCTGGCCACGATCCACCGCACGCATGAGATCTCCGCCCAGTTCATCGATAACGCTGTCTTTATTACGATCCAGGTGAGGAAAGGTGTGTGTGTGTGTGTGGTAATACTGCTAATGGTAGAAACGTGTGTTACAGAGGGGAGGGAGTGCAGGTGCTTGTGTAAGGATATATGTATGTGGGTGTGTGTACGAACATGTGTTGCTGTAGTCGTATAGGTGTGTGTGTGTGTGTATACAGGTGTACGTACAGTTGGAACTATATGTGATTTGATATACTGTATAGCCACGAATATATTCTCTTTCAAGCACATGGTTACAGGACAGGAAACAGCGAGTGAGCATTAACGGCACTAAGTCCCATTGGAGCAACGTCACAAGTGGAGTTCCCCAAAGCTCAGTACTTGGACCATTATTGTTTATTATATACATAAACGACATAGATATCGGCATAGACAGCAACATAAGTAAATTTGCTGATGACACTAAAATAGGACGTGTTATCAAATCTGACGAGGACTCGGCAAAACTACAGGAAGATCTAAACAAATTTTTCGAATGGTCTGAAAAATGGCAGATGAAATTCAACGTCGACAAATGTAAAGTACTCAGTATAGGAGATGTAAACAGGGAAACCAGATACCAGATGAACAACGATGCCATAGAGAAATCCGACTGCGAGAGAGATTTAGGAGTAATGATAAGTAGGAACCTTAAGCCAAGTAAACAATGTGTTTTTGCTCGTAACAAGGCTAATAAAGTACTTGGGTTCATACAAAGGAGTGTTAGTTACAAGACTAGCGAGGTCATCCTAAAACTGTATCTTGCTCTTGTGAGACCACACCTGGATTACGCAGTTCAGTTCTGGTCACCGTATTACAGAATGGATATAGAATCCTTGGAAAGAATTCAGAGGAGAATGACAAGACTAATCCCGGGCATTAGGAACCTTGAGTATAGAGACAGGTTAAAGCATCTTAATTTGCACTCCTTGAGACGTAGAGCGAGGGGCGACCTGATAGAGGTGTATAAGTGGAAGGCAGGGCTAAACAAAGGGGACATTACAAAGGTACTCAAATTATCCAACCAGGAGCGAACTCGTAACAATGGTTTTAAATTAGACAAATTTAGATTTAGGCGTGAAATAGGTAAACACTGGTTTGGAAACAGAGTAGTGGATGAATGGAACAAGTTACCAAATATCATCATTAACTCAAATACGCTGAATTGCTTCAAACATAGGTTGGATGCTCATATGAGCAATAGGAGTTGGGTGTAAACGGGACTGCCAAGTATGGGCCAATAGGCCCGCTGCAGTTTCCTCCATTCTTATGTTATGTTCTTATGTTCTTATGAGCAATAGGGGTTGGGTGTAAACGGGACTGCCCAGTATGGGCCAATAGGCCCACTGCAGTTTCCTCCATTCTTATGTTCTTAACCCTTACATAATATAATCATTTTAAGGGGAGCCTAATGAAGTATATATTCCCCTTAGTGTATACTCTGATATATCAATACCCCTTATGATGTACGTAACTTAACCTAACCCAAACAGCTAGGAACGCAGGAGCTACAGGGTGGAAGTGATTGGTCTATGTCAGCCGCTCTCTTACCTGCCGTGGAAGGTCACCTGAACATACTGATTGAAAGTCTGGAGGTGACCATTGACCTGAAGCAGCCAGTTAACATCAGGAGCCCGCCAACCCTAAGGAAGATTGATATTCGACTAGGTGAGAGGGAGAGAGAGGGAGGGAGGGTGAGAGAGGGATGGAGAGGGTGAGAGGAGAATGTGACAGGGAGGGAGACGGAATATGAGGGGAGAGAGAGAGAGAGAGAGAGAGAGAGAGAGAGGGGGGATAAGAGGTAGAGAGAGAAAGGGAAAAAGAAAATAACAATCATAAAATTACTTATTTGTTGCCTAAAGTAAACCTAATTAACTTCCTCCTTAAGGTAAAATTACTTACTTCATAACCAAACTAAGGTAAACTAACTTACTTTATCCTTATCTAAAGTAGAATTATTTCCTTTATCACCAACTCAGGTAAACGAACTTCACCTCACTCCTTAGGCAACATTAATTACTTCTTCTGCGTCTCCTTCAGGTAATCTGGCAGTGAGGTCGACAGGTGAGGGCTCTATGGATTACCTGTTGGAGGCGTTCGTCAATATCGTGCCCAATGCCCTCAGGAACGTCATCATGGACAACATCGAACCCAGAATACAGCAGGTAAGGGCAGGATGCAACAGGTAGGGGCAGGATACAGCAGGTAGGGGCAGGATACAGCAGGTAGGGGCAGGATACAGCAGGTAGGGGCAGGGAAGGGCAGAATACAGCAGGTAGGAGAAAGGAAGGACATGGGATACAAGCAGATGGAGTAGGACGGGGAAGGGCTGGGATTCAGCGGGTATGGGCAGGATACAGCAGGTAGGGGCAGGATGCAGCAGGTGGGGGCAGGATACAGCAGGTAGGGCAGGATACAGCAGGTATGGGCAGGATATAGCAGGTAGAGACGGGATACAGCAGGTGGGGCAGGGTGGGGTTAGAATACAGCAGGTAGGGGCAGGGAAGGGGCAGGGATACAGCAGCAGGTCAGGTGGGACAGGGGAAGGACAGGATACAGCAGGTAGGGGTGGGAAAGGGCAGGGAGCAGGATACACAGCAGGGATGGGCAGGATACAGCAAGGTAGGGAGGCAGGAAGGGTGAGGATACAGCAGGTAGGGTGGGAAATGGCAGGATACAGCAGGTAGGGCAGGATACATGATCATATAACAGTGAGAGGCAACACCATAACTCCCGCACCAACCATTGGTACTCAGCACCATAACTCCATATAACCATTAGTACTCAGCACCATAACTCCATATAACCATAAGTACTCAGCACCATAACTCCATATAACCATTAGTACTCAACACCATAACTCCCATATAACCATTAGTACTCAACTCATAACTCCATATAACCATAAGTACTCAGCACCATAACTCCATATAATAACCATTAGTATCCCAGCACCATAACTCCATATAACCATTAGTACTCAACACCATAACTCCATATAACAAAGTACAGTACTCGGCACCATAACTCCATATAACCATTAGTACTCCAGCACCATAACTCCATATAACCATAAATTACTCAACACCATAACTCCATATAGCATTAATTACTCAGCACCATAACTCCATATAACCATTAGTACTCAGCACCATAACTCCATATAACCATAAGTACTCAGCACCATAACTCCATATAACCATTAGTACTCAGCACCATAACTCCATATAACCATTAGTACTCAGCACCATAACTCCATATAACCATTAGTACTCAGCACCATAACTCCATATAACCATTAGTACTCAGCACCATAACTCCATATAACCATTAGTACTCAGCACCATAACTCCATATAACCATTAGTACTCAGCACCATAACTCCATATAACCATAAGTACTCAGCACCATAACTCCATATAACCATTAGTACTCAGCACCATAACTCCATATAACCATTAGTACTCAGCACCATAACTCCATATAACCATTAGTACTCAGCACCATAACTCCATATAACCATTAGTACTCAGCACCATAACTCCATACAACCATTAGTACTCTCAACTTCCTTTCCATATAACGCCATAAGTACTCAGCACCATAACTCCATATCCATTAGTACTCAACACCATAACTCCATATAACCATTGAAGTACTCAGCACCACGCTCCATATAACCATAAGTACTCAGCACCATAACTCCATATATTAGTACTCAGCACCATAACTCCTTATAACCATTAGTACTCAGCACCATAACTCCATATAACCATTAGTACTCAGCACCCTTATGCTCCATATAACCATTAGTACTCAGCACCATAACTCCATACAACCATTGGTACTCAGCACCATAACCCTATATAACTATTAGTACTCAGCACCATAACTCCATACAACCATTGGTACTCAGCACCATAACCCTATATAACCATTAGTACTCATCACGTCTGTACTCTTGTTTCGTACCTTGACAGAGGAGCCAGGCAGGCAGGCAGTCCACAAAACAGACAATCAGACAAACAGGTAAACAGGTAAAGAGACAGGTAAACAGGAAGACAGACAGTAAGTACCTAACCAAACTTACCTAACCGGGATGTTTACGTCTTGGCAGATAATACAGAAGCGACTCAACGGACTGGACTTGTACAGGATGGTTCTGGATATACTGGCAGAGAGGCGACGACAGCAGAGGAACAAGCAGCGGCAAGTGCAGAGGATTCCTTAGGGGCCACTAAGCCCCACTCCAACCTCCAACCCCCTCAACCCCACTCCAACTCCCCCCAACCCCTCTGCTTGTATTTTGCCTGTGTAACTAACCCTGTCAAATAGGATACCTAGACCCTCAGTCGTAAGCGTGACCACATAAAGGGGACAGACGTGCCCATATAGGTGCTCTTGACTTCCCGATCGTCCCACAAAGGTCCCCTCAGCCGGCAAGTTTTGCCAGCATGGGGTTGTTGACATAAACGTCCCAGAAGAGGCTCTCTCATAGACGCAGACGCAGACATCTCTGATACTGATGCCATTACCAATTCGCCTGGTCATAGTGAATCCAACACCCTTCAAGAGTCAGACCCCAGTGATTATGATAGTGACGGTAATGTTTCTATGGGAAACGCTAGCCACAGTGGAAACACCAATGCCATGGACCCTATCACCCTGCCCTCTGCCAAACAAACAAGTAAGCTGAATCTCCACTTCCCCAAGGACTCTCTGAAAACTGTAGAGGAACGCTTTAATTGGATGATGAAGTACTGCAGACAGCATGGTTTCAACATTGAATTCCGACATGGTAAGAACCGGAACTTTATCAAGTGTCAGACTCCTGAGGTCTATGAAACACTTAGTACTGTTGACTTTGACGGGGTCGTCCTGCTGCCCCCCCCTGTAGACGCGGATGAATGTTGCCACATCCTAGTGAAACGTTTCCCCTTATACGCTGACATCGAAGATGCGCGTGACTTTAACTCTAGTATACTGAGTATACGTCGCCATTACCGGGGGAGAGTTCCACAACCCGCTGTCATTGTCAAGTGGAAGGGAAGGGAGTGCCCAACCACTGTGAATGCCCACCCACTCTTACCCCCACTGTATGCAGAAGCCTATCATCCTGAGCCTGCATTTTGTGTTGTCTGTTCTCATTGGGGTCACAACTTCACTGCCTGCTGTCGTCGTGATCGGCCGAGATGTCGCTTCTGTTCACGTAACCACAACTCCGCCGCCTGTGCCCAGAAAATCAAAGACCACCTAAATAGTGGTGGGGTGGGCTATGTAATTAATCCCAGATGTTGTAACTGTGGCGGCCGGCACAATGCTGACTCACGGCAATGCCCCAATCGCCCGTCTGTCCCAGGGGAAAAGCCTCCCCGAAGGCCAAGTCTACTACAACGCACCCCCCAGTCTTCCGGGCCACACCCCCCTGTGTACCCTGTGTCTCCAGCAATGCCTTCTTCAACAACACCTGCCTCTGCCTGGCCTCATCTGGCTACAACACAGCAGTCCCGGCCGTCTCCTAACTCAACTACTGCTGGGCCTCCTCCCCGTCTCTACTCTGAGGCTGTCAGGCCTTGCGCTCCCACCGGTGCCCCCCCACAACCCCCCGCCAGTGACATGACACAGATCATATCCCTCTTCCAAGAATTTACCAACCGTATCGAAAAACTCTACGCTACACGCTGTACCACCATCTCCGACCTACTCTTGCCCTCTGTTGCCACCCAGCCACTTCTCTCTTCTGGTTTGACACAAGCTGGTGGTCGGCCTGTGAGCCCCCACCTGCTCGCGGCCTATTCCACCGCTGGCGGCCTTCACTACTGGTGTAGGGTCTACCGGGCCTGCCCTGGTGTGTCCTGCTGTTCCCAAACGAAGGCCTGCCTCATCTTCACGACACGTGGTGCTCAACCTGTCCACCCACCGCAAGCCACGCCCGCTCCTGTGTCTGCGCTGTCTCCACCAGGGCTACTTATTGGACCTGAGGACACCACCCCCAACTACTCGTACCCCACCGGCATGCCGACGCACACGCCATCACAATGACACTAAAAGGTATGTCCCTCAATATTGTCAATGCCTATGTGCCTCCCTCCACCGCTACTCTACCTGTCCGACCGTACCATATCACCTCCACCCCCACTGTACTTCGCCACGCTTAATACATTGGCAACCCCCTAGCCAAGCAGCACTGGTTGTAAACTTTGTGGTCAACCCGACTCTCACACCCTCTCTCACTACATCCTAACTTGCCCTATGACCTCCTCCTACAGGTCCGTTACCAACACCTCTTCCCTCCCTGACCAGATATCCCTCCTCCTAGTGATAGGCCTGGCAATTGACATTATTATGAACCTGCCACACTTTGCCATAAACAGATAAATTGTACAGGGAATTTTCCCCCACACACTCATCATTCTGTCACTTTATGTAACTTGCTGACAAAACCCTTGACCCTTCAGGCCTTTACGCCCTTAATGCATGAGTCATAAAGGCAAGCATGAACTCCGCATGCTTACCAGTTGGGCACTGTAAACACTTCTGCGCTTCACCTTGCACAGGATGTAAGTGGGTGCCCAATAAACTAGCCCCTCGTGGACAATCTGTAATCTGTATGTACCTAGACCCTGTAAGTCCTCCCTGCTTGTATTCTTAACCCGACCTTAACTAACCCCTGTTTACTGAGAGTCAATTTATCATTTACCTTGTCTTATAGTTTAATTTCCCCCACGTTATTTTTATTTTAAGGTTTTTCGGAGTTTTCGCTATATTCTTGTAACGTGTTTAGGGTTGTTGATGTTTTAGGGCTGTTGGTGGAAAGTAACGTTTCGCTATAGGTAACTTAACGACAGCAGGTACCTAATGTAACCTAACCTAGCCAGCCGGACGATAATGATCAGATGTCTGGTTAAATATTTTTTATTACTTCACCTGTCATTAATTTCTAACACCTGGTAGAGTATTCACCTGTCCTCAAGCCATTCCGCTCTCTACAAAATCAACAGTTCCCTTGTGTTGTTTCCCTCACAAATCTTTAAAAGGTTACGAAATCTACAACAAAGAATAATGATAATAACAAGAACGGAAATTGATAGATAAATAAGGAATATACCAATTCTCAATTTTTTTTTTAAATAAAATAACCCCTCATAAAAAATACATAAAAATACACAAAAAATATATTGAAAAAGGTGAGATTTTTTTTTCTCTGATGGAGGTTCTCAGATGTGTGGAATAAAGTCTCTCTCTCTCTCTCTCTCTCTCTCTCTCTCTCTCTCTCTCTCTCTCTCTCTCTCTGACTAACAAACACCAGCAGAACACACACACAGAGGGTTTAGCGTTATAACAAATATATAGTACTCAGAATAAGAAGTTTATTGTGTAATTAATTTGTCTACAGATTAAGATATTATTATTATTATTATTATTATTATTATTATTATTATTATTATTATTATTATTATTATTATTATTATTAAACCAAACGATATCAGACTTTTGTACATATGTAAGAAATATTACACAATATAATTACAGAAGTGTGTATTGTTTTATGTAAGTAAAATAATAAGAGTTATTTGTATACTTAAGGAAGGCTGTTGTTGTTACTTTTATATCGTTTATTATATTAAGTTAGAGTTTATTGATATAAGTAGAGGAGATCAAGCTTCACTTTTGTGTTATATTATAAGATTGTGTTGTGGATATTTTATAAGTTTGTGATGTGGATATAAGATTGTGTTGTGGATATATTACAAAGGTGTGTTGTGGATATATCAAAAGGTTGTGTTACGGATAACTTAAGAGGTTGTGTTGTAGTAGTTATTTTCTAAGGTTGTGTTGTGGATATTTTTCAGGTTATGGTGTGGTTCGTATGGTTAACTGGGCCCCTTTCCTAATAGACCACTGTTCTGATAGACCCCTGACCTATTAGGTCCCTGTCTTAACGTAACCTAACCTAACTAACCTAACCTTATCATTCGATACTGGGGAACCCAATAGGACTGGACCCCATTATACCTAGGACCCAAAGGTTAGGTTAGGGTCTTCTGAAAGTGGGGTTTATTATGTCTAGGGCCCATTCAGGATGAATAGCAAATCAAATTGGGTCATTAATAGTAGTTTCGGTTTGCTATTGGTATGCGCTGATTAATAGAAGGTGATACTGCGGTTGAACTGGCTACTGATTGGATAATTTTATTGATAATATGTGTTATGTATAATTTATTGAGTCATTGTTTTATTTTTTTAACTGTAAATTTATCTACAAAGATATTGAGTGTACTGTATATAATATTAAGTAGGCAGCATTTATGTTTACCTATACGAGTATAACTAATAATGAAATATGGTCATGTTACCTATATCTTGTTTCTCCATCAAACGTTAATCAATCGGAGTTGTGACCTACTTCTTCTTGTGAGATTTTTTTCTATTAATTTTGTCATCATGTCATTCATTGTAAGGATCAAGCCAAGATTACACGCAGTAGACCCTATGATAAGGTCATTAACACGGAGGGTGATAAAGCATCCTCTTATGAACCATATTATTCTACACATTCATGCTAAGTTTTCAGGCTACCATTCTGAGGGACAATGCAACTTGGAGGTTCCTGATATCGTTGTGAACCCCAGCCACCAAAACACACTCCGTAACCTATGTCAAATAATGTAAAACTTGATTGAGTAAATTGTTTCGTGAATTTATTAATAAAAGAGTGACATCCTTCCCTAGTCCTTATTGAGAAATGGAAGTATCAGAGCTCGATTGTTGAACTACGAGGGTGCTGAGGGTGTGTGTGTGTAGGGAGGGAGGGAGGGAGGAGATGGCTGGACAGCAGACCCGTCGTCCAGTAAGGGTGAGCGGACTTTACATCAGACACCTTGACTGTAGCGAGAATGTTCGTCCGGGATTGTACGTGAGTTGGTGGTTGATGTACGTGTGTTGGAGGTTGGTGTACGTGTGTTGGAGGTTGGTGTACGTGTATTGGTTGTTGATATACGTGTGTTGGTTGTTGGTGTACATGTGTGTGGTGGATGATGTACGTGTGTTGGTGGTTGATGAACGTGTGTTGGTGGTTCGTGTACATGTGTTGGTAGTTAGTGACGTGTGTGGTTGACGGCAATTTGACGTGTTTTCCACATAAATACACAAGTAATTAGGGTCATGTGGTATATCTTTTTATATACTGTAGAAGTATAAATATATATATTGAGTAAGTATATGAACAGCTGTGGCTTAATTTCAATC